ACGAGGGAATTAATAAGAGTAGATATAGATTTAAAGAAAGTTCGCAAGTTCTTTATTTCAGTTTGCCACAGTTTGTATGCACAATGGCTTCATCAACCTCAAATAATAGTCATAAAAATATTTGCCTGATTATTTTTTGTGTTTTTGTCAAACATTATTACTCTCACCAGTTTAGTTACAGGCATGATTACAGTACAAAATACTGCAAGTGTTTTCATGGCTGTAGTATTCTATGCAAATCTACAAAGTCATTTACTTCTCTTTTTCTACTGCACCTTTGACACGATCATGATTAACATCAAAAGCCAAAACTCCAACATTCCTCAAGATACAAATTAATAATACCAACTGAGCGATCATCATAAATTCTCATATGGCATTATACTATATTGATTGCTCTTAATGGACAATTTTACAATATTTGGGCAGCTGCACACAGTTCACAAAATTCGAGCATGATTTACTTACACCTGAGCCTACTTACTGAAATACTATCTAACTCGCGCAATGCACAAATATAAAAATAATTTTTTAAGAAATTTGTGGACTAAGAGAGTGCAATGGGAGACAATGAACCCTTACAGTGCACTAGACCAAATTCAAATCACAAGTGTGCATTCATACTCTCCATTGATTCTTAAGGCTAGCAAACAAAATATGAAGAAATGAATGAACTAGCGAATGAACTAAAACATTCTGCTTTACTTCTGTTTCTAGCAATACTTTTCCAGCAAATCTTCATAGAAACATGTATATCATTTATATTAGCACATAGTTTGACACAACTAGGATCACACAATTTACTGCCAAAATACATCAGATTCAAAGAAAGAAATGTTTTCATAAATCAGTGTTAAATTTATTATTTTTTTAGGCATTTAGTCGTAGTATAACGATAAATATTAGCAGAATTTCAGCCAATACAGACTTTAGTGTAAACGAAGTCTTTGAAGAACTTAATTTATCAACCTTTTGCCTCAAAACTTGTAAAGGGCACATGGAAACCAAATTAGATGTTTGTATCTGTCTTGAAGAAATGTTGTTTCTGATGGCAAGCTAACACACCTCAGTAATAAAGCTATCAAACAAAAAGTAATAAAGAAAGACTAGAGCATCAAAAATCAGAACAACTTTTTTTCACATATCACATGAAATTATGAAAATTATAACAAGTAGTATTACAGACAGACTGTATAAAATACATCAAGATGGACAACAGTAAAGCCAAATGTGATAATTTTTTAAGTTTTTTGTAGCCTTTCAGCAGATTTTTTTCAAATTGACAAATTCTACTGCTTAAACTAATTGAAGAAAAAAAGTTGCCACTGAATGAAAAGGTAAAGTTCAGACATGGAAGACATTGGTGTTGTGACTCTTGATGTTGTTCCAGACAATTTCTGAGGAAGCTGGCAGGCTTGACTTATTTATCATCAATCAGCCCAGGTGGAAGATGTGTCAGGTAACCTCCATTGGTAAGGAGTTTGTCTTCCGCACCAATTGATTTGTGTCGGAACACACATCTTCTGATATTTCCTCACTGGTAGGACACAGTTTTAATTGGACAACATTTCTCATGTGACCAAAATTTTAAAACAGAAATGATACTTCACCTTTTAAGTATATTTTCCCTGCTTGATCCACTTTTCTGCGTTTCAGGTAGTAGGTTGACTTGTCTTATAATTGTAGTAGGAGCCTCAGAGGTACTGCTAGATGGCTGAATAACAGTGGGTGCTGAGACTGAAGATATTTGTGAAACAACTGTAGCTGCCCTAGGTTGGTGAACTAGAGCAATTTTCCGGTTCAGGTCAATTGAAGTGGATGGTCTTATACCAGACATATTGCCAGCAACTCCACTGAGGCCTGAAAAAGAAAACTAGCACGTTTAATTTGTTAAGACTCCTAATTATAACCCAAGTTACTTTCTGGGTAGCAACCAAAAACATGCTGATTTAGCATACCTTTAAATTTGAGAATAATGTGTCCACAATCAACAAATGATAAGACCTAACAATGCAGTCTTAAAGATATAGCAGACATATGGGTATTCTAAATGTCTAGCCATGTACTAACAAAATCTAGTGAAATACTGTAGAATTAGGTATTAAGGATGACGTATAAAGCAGCTGTCTAGCTTTTGGTACTGTGGTAAAAATGTTGAGCTATGAAATTACTAAGAACTGTCATTTCCACATTATATTAAAGCTGATGATACATGATACAGTGCTGAAGAGATACTGGAACTACAGAAAAGCTACTTCTGAATAAAAACTTTAATTTGAAAATATGAGCACAAGAGCATTTTGATTACCACGGCAGATCAACTTTTTCCGAAAGGATAAAGACAAACGTGGGTGGCAGAGGGAGGGAAGCGACTATAACATATGTAAAGTGACTGCCTACCAAGCACATACAATGTACTAACATGATACATCGTAGTTAGGCATTGATACAGATTTTTAACCAAGTAGGTCTCAGCCCCACCCCCATTTTAAAAGGCTATTGTTTTCCAATCAGCACAAAATTTGAAATCTGTTGTCATTTTAGTAAATAAATGGGATACTGGAAGGCAAACCCAAAATAAAGAAATGGCTGAAAGCAAAAGATAATGCCTTCCACTAAACTTTGGTTTAAATAAGCACCCTAAACAAATATTTGGTTAACAAAAATAATGTACATAGTTTGCAATACAAATGATTAAAATTGGCCTAGTAGAATTTTGCATTTTGACTGATTAGTTTTACATTGAAAAACCATTGAACAAACAAAACAGTAGTAATAAATATTTTATTAACCTTACCTCATTACAGTTTATGTTACAAAAATAGACTTCTTGTGAGTTACTAGTATTTTGAGGGACAGTTTGTAAATCAAATTATGCATTTCAATTTGTACATTGTCCCCCAAATCACTTGCACTCATTTGCATTTAGTACTAATTTCTTTTTTGTTGATAACAATGATAAACCATGCAAAATGGCTGCTACATGCAAATCATAAAAACAAAAACCATACGGAATTTAGAATATTGCAGGATAAAAGCAATGGGGAGCCAGCTCAAGCTGCTGATTCACCTCTCCTGAAGGTAGTATGCACAGAAAGCATTAAGAGAGGGATGAATTAAATTCGAGAACCAATATGATTCAACATAGTAGGTACGTACACACATGCAACCTGAAGGTAACACAGCAACTTTGCACTTAATGTAGATATGCCAACACATGCATTCAAACTCTGTTGACTACAAATACTGCCATCTTAGTATTATCTGTACAAAGGTATAAAAGTTGGTATTGACATCAAACTGCAGCAATGATTGTAAACATTTGAAAAAAAATATGCAACTATAAATTGTATTTCACAGAATAAAATCGTTTCTTCTTCATTAAAGAAGATTACACTTTTGTAATGACCACAATGAGATCAAAACCCAAGCTTGTGTTGAAATGGAACATCATCTCAGGTTAAGCAAGTTCTGCAGCACTCCAAGTTTAGAAGTACAAATCTAATAAAAAAAAAGTACTCAGCCTCCATGTTTCTTTAAAGAAGTCAATTTATTACTATATATGAATTCACAGATAGCAGCTCTCTCAGAGAGAGCCCAATCTCAAGATGAAAGAACTCATAAAACTTGGCTAACAGATTCATAAAATATTTCAAGGATGAAATGTCAACTACCCTGCTACTTTTCATTTTGACAAGTAGAACAGTGAAAAATTTATATCACACGTTCTATTAATAAATTTCATGAGTAAAAAGTGCATAGCACTATTAAGTTACTTTCTCAAAATTGGACTACTTTTTATTAATTATCACTTGGGCCAGTGGAGATTTTCTCACAGAGCAAAGGCCCATTTAAATAAATCAGACTTTTCATTCATCATTCTAAGAAAATTTTACAGAGTGATGTCAATTTTTCAGCTCAGTTTAGGCTATAATGCACGAGGTAGATTAAATGGGGTGGACAAAACTGTTTAAAAAACATCAACAAATGAACAGATTCAACAGATAGTAAAAAAATAAAAAAATTACCAAGCTGTTCCTAACAGGAACTGCTACATGATATACTGCTACCTCATGGTAGGTAACTTACACTCAGCAGAGGTTGCTGAAGGTAGAGGTCCATTGCTGAGGATTACAGTTGGCGTTGAAGTCCCAGTTGGCCGTTGAACTCTGCTACTAGTCAAACTGTCACTATGATTCACCACAACCACTGGCCCTGAGCTTTTGCTACCAACATCAATGTGGTTCCAGCTCCCATTCCCAGTCAAGCACTGAGTCAATGAGGTTGATGGATATGGAGGGGGAGGATTTAACCTTGTCACTGATGCACTTTTACGAGGAGATGACTCTCCATTGCTCTGAGGTAAGCCTCCATTGTTGCTATCACACATGAAAAAGGCTGAACAGCCTACCTGTGTTGGTGAACATGCCCTAATGTCTCCATTTTTACCACATATTGTCAACTCTTGACTGGGACCATTAAGTTCTGAGCCATCCTTAACAATGTAGATCCCAGTCCGTTGCTTATCAGGTTTAAAACCATCCTTGTCACCCTTTCTCGTTAATAACGAAGATAGAGTAGAAGTGTCAGTTGAAACTGGGCGTGATGTTGGTAGCCCAGTAACACCAACATGAAGTCTCTTCTTCGTTGGAGGAACAACATCAGAGACCATACCATTTTCCAGTTCCCAATCCATCTTCTGGTCAGGAGCAGGAAGTGGCTCCACACTTTTATCTAAGCAGGAACTATCGTCCACGAAATCCTGTCCCAGAGTAGACAGACTACCAAGAGTAGGGAAAAGATCATCTGAGTCTAGCCTATCAAGGTCTAATTCCATAAGAGTGCTGAAAGTACAAGTATCACTTCCAGGAGCTTCACTTTGAACTTCTAGAGTGACAGGACCACGCCTGGCCAGCAGGCTTTGATCTGCCACATCTTCATTCAAACCATCATCCACATCCGAGTCTTCTTTTTCTTGCTTTTGTGGCATCTTGGGTCTAAAGTGCAGCCTGTAGAAAGAAAAAAACAAGAAAGAGGTGATTTTTAGGAAACAAAAAAAGTAACAACCTCATTTAAGCTCTGAAGATAGATTTCCAAACTTACCAATCTGCCTTAATTTCACTAAGAATTTCATTGTTATTGTGATTAGTACTGGATGATGCTACATTACATTGCGACGAATCTTGAACAGTGAAGTCCAGTGATCTCCAGATATCATCAAGTTCCGTAGGTTCGCGGTCTAAAATTATCCTGAAAATTAGACCCCAAAAATATGTTAAGTTCTACCTAACTAATGTATTTTAAATATGAAACGTTTGTAATGGCAAATGTGAACCAAAATTGGAGAATCTCATAATTCCTCCAAATAATTATTTACCTTCCTCCTCGACCTATCCGTCTTCTGGCAAAGCCTATACACCTAGGTCTTGGCCTATTGACAGATGTTAGACAGAATCGATACCTGTGATCACCAGAACCGCCTTCCTCTTTACTACACCATGGCCAGTTGCCAAATTCACCAGGAAGGGGCTGTAAAAAACAAATGGAGTTCAAACTTGAAAGGCCCCTCAAACAAGGATATGTAAAATGAGTAAACAGTTCAAAACATACAGCATGATAATTGCAAGCAGGATTTCTCCTGAATGCAAAAGGTCCTTCATCTTCTTCCTCTGCTTCGGGAGCAGGTTGAACAGGACTAGAAGTTCTCATGCCTGTGCTAGAAGTCTCTTCCTCAGAACTACCCTGAGTGCCAAGATATCCATCCAAACCTCCACGGCTTCCTGTTCCAGCAGTTGTACCACATACTGAAGAGCCAGCTGTGCGCTTTCTTCTTTTGTATGGTCGCTTTTCCTTTCTTGTAACAACTTCATCCTACACATCAAAATTTCTAAATTATCAACAAATATTGATGAAGTGCTGCCACTGTCAGTGGCTGCACTAGAACAAAATGGAATATCCCTCATTCAGAAAAAATGTTTCCACGCCTAAATTTTTAAACTTGTTCCCAATCAATTAAAAAAAAAAGTATAGTGACAATTTGCACAGAGTGACACGAATTTAATCACCTTGATTGGAACTTTGTTGGTCCAAGAACTGATGCTGTATTGATTGGGAAATATAGGAGCAAATGCTGGTCGGGGATGCTGGTAACTTTTCAGGGCTGAAACATCAGCCAACAACTGTCCACTGAAATCTCCAGCTTGGTACCTGATGGGAGTAGTAGTGATCTCTAAATGTCTTTGCTCTCACAAACTGAATATTCAGACTCACCATTACCAGTATACATGAATTAATTTCAATGCAACTGTAAACACACCTTTTCTCATACACTTCAACAGTTAGATGGAGAAGCTCTCTTTTTGTCTTTTCACGTCTTTTCACCATTTCCAAAAGGGTAACAGCTCTGCTAAGATCTCTTCGAAGTTTAAGCATCTTTTCATATGAAGTTTCATCATTTTTGCGGTTTTTGCGTGTTTGCATCTTTTCTGTTCGCCGTCTGAAGGCAAGATAGGGGTTGTTTGCAGCAGCCCCAGCTCTGAGCTCAGTCTTGACAGTTGGAATCAGCGGCCATTTCTAAGATAAGCAGAAAAAAGGCAAAGTCTCAAAAAAGGGGTAACATCAAAAACCAAAACAAAGAAAGGATAGATACAATGATAGCTTACCGTTTTTAATCTTTTTTCCAACCAATAGTCATAAACTGCAATAGCAAGATCATCATCTTCCTTCAGAAGAGATTTAGCTTCTTGGACGTTTATGACTGTTTGACCACTACTTTTCTCAAGGCGATCTAACATTTCTTCAAACTGCACCAAATTAAAAAAAAAGATAATTACAACTAGAGATAAAATAAAATCAAATTAATAGTTCAAAGGGAAAACAATTACCTTCAGAGGGGTAAGCTCCAATTTCTTGGATTGTGCCTTTATCCACTGTTCGTCTTCTGAGTCCATGTCGTAATCTGGAATGTCCTGCTCCATTGAAAATGCTGCAATGATAAATAAAACATTAATGTTAATTTAACTACACATAAACATGCAAGATAGACTAAAGAACACACATGATTGTGCACTTACGTTGTACATGAATAAGTTGCCTTGGGGCCTTGTAGTTTGAAGGATACATTCGTTCGTAAATTTCTGAATCTGCCATATTTTGGACTTCTGGTGTAGGAATGATGAGGCCCGCACATATTGCTCTTTGTAAATGATGCTCCTAAAACCATTTAACAACAGTTAAACAGATATCATAAAGTTGAAAAATAATGAAACACAGTTTTGGAGATCATTAAATGATAGTTTTAGTAACAATCAATGGTAGTGAAAGAAAATTTTGAGATGAATAACAGAAAACAATTAATACTACTAAAATAAAAGGTGAACTTTTATGGATATGGCGTGAAAACATGATAGTTTTAACACTCTCAAGGAGGCAGTTCAGAGAACTTTGAAAGCAAACAAATCAACATATTAACACCATTAATTAAAGCAAGCACAAACAGCAACGTTTGAGTGAAATGTCAAATAGCTAGTTCATCAAAAGTAAGTATAGTATTAGTTGAGGTTAGGTAATCGGATGCTGGATTTACCAGGAAGAAGTTAAGGGGAATGTAAACAAAACGAGTTTGTCATTGTGTCTGTCTGATAACATACCCCAAAACAACATTTAAAAAAAACACAATTAAGACCATGCCTTCCTCAAAAATTGATAGGAAAATAGCAGGATTAACCGTAAATGAGATTTAAAAAAATTCTAATAATACAACCTAACCTAATCTGGTCAAAATTGACTGTAGCCTAGGCTAAACAATTTTTTGAAGTATTTATAAGTAAAGTAGTTCTTCTACGCAATAATTCTTTCATATTATTTAAAATAATAGTTAATTTGCAATGAAATTATTGTAGTGAGGTTTAGAAAGGTGGGAGTTTGTAGTGTTATAGAAATAGTTTAATATATGAAATTTGTAGTGGGCTATTGGATGATGGGTTGGATATCTTTTCATTTTCATTCAAAAACAGAGCCGTGACAGCTGAAATGGACGATGCAATAGTAATCTTTAAGGTCAACTTGTGAATTTTCATCGACTTGGGTTAAGCTATACGCAATAGTAAGCTCAAAATTTAAGTTGAAAATTGTTGTATTTGACAAACGATGCTGCACCCTCGCGGCCTAGCCTTCAGTCTTGTCATCCAAGATGGCGGCGGAGTCACGCTTTCGCTGAGTTTTCAGGAATTAAACTTACACTTTCTTCCTCTTTTTCCATTCCACTGGGCATTTGGGGCACTGCTCTATTTATTGCCGAATATTCTGGCAGATCTGGAACCTCCTCTGCCATGAAAATCGGCATGGGCTTGGACGCATCAAGCGCCCTAGCCCTGAACGAGAGCTTGCTCATTTTTGTTGACAGACTATCAACACATTGAACACCAAATTAAAAATCTCTTGTAGGTCGCTTTTTAGGGCCCCGAAGGGTTTAAACCCTTTGGCGGACAAACCTACGACACTCTTAGTTCGTCCCCATCTTGACGGTTAACGTTCACTCAGTCACAATACATAAAATAACACTTCCAAACATGAATGTAGGACTCGTTTTCAGAGAAGGCATCATGGCGGATCCATGCCATTCACTACCAAAATGCAATGCGCGGGAATCGACGCACGTTGTCGGTACTACGATTCAAATGACCTTCTTTTCAACTTTACTAACGTGGAGGAGGTTGGCATTTCAAAAATGTAGTGATTAGTTTAGAAGTGTACAAATTTGAGAGATGTGCATGTGTATATCTACGAAGAAAAATACAGGGGACACTCCAGTAGAAAACGAATGTTGATCGTTCCACAGTAGTCAGCTTGACTACTTCCTCCACGAATCTCTTAAGGTGACCACTGTTGCCCAAACTTTAACGTTGAAAATCAGTGGGATAGAGCGAAATAAAATATCTAGAACAATGAATTGTAATATCCTTCGATTCGCAAAATTCTTCAAACGCTAACAAATCCAGAGTAATCGAAGAAAACTTCGTATAGAAGGGGTTCTTCATGTAGAGGGCACCACTGTGCAATCGGGCGCCAATATTTAAAAGACGGCGGACATCTTACTTATGAAAAGTACAAAAGTTTTATTGAAAACGAATGCAATAGCGCGCAAATAAGAAGTAGAATCGGAAAAAGCCAAATAACTGCCACAAAAAAAAAAGAAAAAGAGAACAAAGTTTGTCAAGAAAAATTGTTTAACATTCATGACAGAAAAACTGAAGCACAGAACCAGACATTACGAATATAATCTCAAAACACTACAATTGTTATTTGTAGCAAGGGCAGACTGAAGTTACCCTTATAAAGCAGAAGATATTTTTCATTAAAACCAATTTTAGTAAACTCATGTAGAAGCTGATTGTTCTGGCTTCTCTTCCGGTTTGAGACCTCTGATAGACAAATCATACACAACCTGGAGAAAAGTCACCATAATAAGACTTTAAATAGACTAAATTAATTTTATTATTAATCATTAGAGCAAAGTAACAAACCTCTTCAATCTTTTTGACATCATACTTCAGAGCATCAAATCTTTTTCGAAGTCCATCATTTTTCAGATTCAAGAGGCGAAAGCCAGAATTTAACTCAGCAACAAACTGAGAAACATGTAATGGGCGCTTGTAGTCTCCATTTGTGACACTGTTCACAGCAAATCTTGCCTGTAAAACAATACATAAAATGATAGTAACATTTCCATTTAATGCTGTAATATTTCTTCCATTTTCAAATTGGTACCATACCAGTTCTGAGGCAAGCTGAAGGAGACCCATTAAGTAATCTTCAAGATCAATATGAAAGCCTTCTTCACGCTTTGTGGTGACTTGCAACAAAAGAAAAGTCAGGTAACTTGATTTAAATTTTAAAAGTCATTACAGGACAATGATTAATTAAAACTTACCTCCCAGCAGCTGAGCAACTTCCTCTATCATTGCCATTTGACCACTTTCAAGGTATATTGTAAGAGCTCCAAGGAATGCCAAGCGTTGGATACTAAAGCGCCAATGATCATGGAAACGATAGTACTCATTGTCAGGCACAATTGAAGACAGTTTTGAAAAGCCAGATTTCACATCAAGAAATAATTTTCTGGCCAGAGAACAACATTCTGGAACTGATTCAAAACCTCCATAAGGATGAGACATTTTTGATTTTGTAAATCAATGTAAGAGTGAAAGAAACAAAATAAAACAGCATACTCTTTAGAAGACCCCCTTCATGATGAATAATTTGTAACGTTGTTTGGATTTCACGGGTTTTTTGGTCAATGTCCTTGTTCACTTGGCGAATTTCCTACAGACGAGAGAAACCTTTATTGGTAAGTATAACCAAACTAACAAAAATTTCATATCTGGTAGAGCTGCTTGTGTGGCAAGAGAAGAATTAGAGATAAACAATTTGAAGCTATATGATGAATGGACAAGAACTCCCTTATGAACTCCCAAGTGACAGATCCATCCAGAATTAGGGAAAGTGTAATACAGGGACATCTGTCACCAGGACATATTTCAGATTGTGTAATGTGATATAATTTTGACATCAAATTTATCTAATATTGACTCCAATCACAATTTTTGTAACGTCAAAATTACACCAAATTCGTTTATCTGAGATGTGTCAATCTGACTGACTAGCAGTGATATGTGACTACAATTTGACAAATTCTTTAACAATCTCTATAACTTGGACAGAAAACACTAACGAGTAGAATTGTGCAAAATGCAACCTTGCATGGTGTCTCCAAAAACGCAGCCAAGAGAGAAAATGCGCATTCGGCACAGCACCAGAGCAAGCAAGCAAGGAATGAGTTAATGTTTGAATAAACGATACAAAACATTTCGATGACCACAATGAGAATAAATAGGAAGAAACATTCCAATTAGTATGATTAGTACGATCATGTGTTGCCGGCTTCGTTTAACTTGGAAAACCCTTCTAACTAGCGAAAAAAATACACACTTCTCTAAGATCTTGTTCCACATTAATATGATCTTGGAATGCGGCAAATATGGAGTTCATGTCGGAAGGCATTGTCAAATACGGCAATTCAATATAAACAGGCGAAAGATGCTAATCCTTTTCGTGATCGTGAACCAACGTCCGCGGAGAAACGCAGTGTAAACGTACTGCCAATGTGTAAACAATGTAGATGGGGAGTATATAGAGAGTTTTGGAAAAGGCGGTGTGTCATCGTTGCGAGGCTACGAGGGATTTTGTATGACAAATTACAATGTCTGATCAACGTTAAGCCCTCGTTGAAAAGCAGGCTCGTTTCCTGGTTTCAGCCAGAGATAGATCCTAAACGTCAAATTTAATGCAACTACGTTCAAAGCTTCGATAGAGCAAACAAGCGTACTGCACATTTGTCTCTACACACGACTCCGAGAAACTGCAACGTAGATGGACGGTTGGAGGCTAGTTTGTGAAGGAGAGAGGAAGGGGTATCACTTTGGAGTTCCCGTCCCGTGCACTCGTGTGTTATTTGTGTTTATTTCATCACCACCATGAAAAAATGGCGAGCAGCGATGTGGGAAAGGTTTCTAGTGCGTCTTTAGGTGCCAAAATCGACGAGATAGGTGTTAGGCATTCTGAAGAAAATGGGAAAATGGCATCTTCACTCAAGTTTGGATTTTACTACATAACTTGTCATTTGCTGTCAATCGTTACATATTTAGTGGACCACTCCTTCAGTTGCTGGTTAGCTTATCAATACCATGTCCAAGAGCAGGAGACGTATTTTGCGTTAACAGTGACGTTTATCGTCTTACCAGCTCTTATATCTACAGGAATCAGCATGAGATGGTGAGTATTTGACTGCCAGAGGGTTAGACGGCTTGGTTGACACTTGTTTGATTGTTATTCCTAACCTGCCTGAAGGATGTCAAGGTTACCACTCAATTGCGTTTTTTAAGTGGTTTATATCCAGAAAACCAATGTAGATTTGTGTCGGGAGCTTTATTCAGATTTTGACTGATGACCTCTTATTGACGTTTCTGTTTATTTGACACTTGAATCCTTGTAGTTCAGTGCATTAGTTTTGACCTTGCTCCCATTAGCAATGTTTTCCACTTCATGGTCAATTGCTTTGAAGGACATCGGTATTGTATAATAATACAATTCATTCAAAAGTTGCAATCTGTTTGTTATTTTAACCTGCTACAATAACAAAATTCTAGTTTGATAAATGGACTGTCCATGTTCTTTCAGGTATATTCAAGATGTAGATGACCCAACTCTCCCCAAAGCACCACTTTGGCGTTGGGTGTTGAGAGTATTTTTCCTCTTGGCACAATTTGCTCCTATCCTTAGGTATGTACTTAGTTTGTCAGTGAAAGTTATTACAATAAGTTGTTACTGGGGTAGTCAGCTCACAATAGGTGAACTTTGAGAGGCTGATGTTGGATTTTACTCTTTACCTTGTCTGGGCTCTGGGGG